TATTCTGGAAGTAAAGTCCTCCAGTACGCATCCCTTTGGGATGCTAAATCACATTGCTTTTGCCGAATTTCGCTCGGAACACCACCAATTTTGAGTTGGCAAATCCGGAAGAGAATATGAACTTTGTACTGCAGATGCGTTATAACAACGCAACGCATGAACAATATCGGATAAATTTATTTGATATTTTTAATTTATTTGAATAAATCTACGTGCTGGGGAATATCTCCCTGGAAGAAATCAAGCAGTTGTGGTTTAAGAATACTCGAACACCACGGGTTCATGATTTTGTACCCTAGAACGGATATCCGTTTTCCGTTTCCGTACGGAATACGGAATACGGAAACGGAACGGAAAAGGAACTTCCTCGTGTAGAAAACGGAATTTGTACTACTTTTTCATAAAAGGAGAACATCAACCCCGGCTAATTTGTCCCCATGTCAGCTCTGGGATTATGCGTCCGAGTTGGTGGGTCGTCGAAACTCGTTGCCATCAGATGACGCCTTCATTTGGCGAAACAGCCGATAAAGAGCGAGTGATCAAGAATTTCATTGAATCGCGTGTAAATTTTGCCCACATAGATATCAATGGATATATGGTCGCGAACTCGCATGTGGTCAAGAACCAAATTCTATTTGTCTTCCGAGCAACACCACTGCCGATCAACGTGGACAGCATCCCGATGGGACAATGCGTCGTAATTCAGCTGCAAGATCCGTTAAATAATGCCACGAACCTCACCGATGAATACGTTCACGTATTGCTGTGCGACCCACCGGTGATGGATGGACCAAACATCCATTTCGTCCATAATGCCGTCACCAAAGAGGACCGCAATGTATCGTAAGTGTTAAACGTTTTAAATGTTGTAACTTAGAAATATACTACGGATTATTTTCCTCTCATTTCAGATTTTACGGAATATTTCGCAAGCTGAACGGACAAGTCACGTCATACATGGTTGTCCACGCGTTGAAAGAAATGCCGCCACGAACGCAGCTGAAGTTTCACTAGCATGGGCTTCTCCCTCCACCTCATTTATAGGTGATGTAATTTTTAAGTTTATTATTTTTTCTTACATTCATCAATAAAACGAAACCCACTGATCGGGTGATTCGTAAAAAATTATTCATTTGTGTTTCATTTCGTAGGTAATGAAAAGAGGACAGGTCAACAGTGGTGTTCAACAGGGCAACAGTAGTGCCCAACAGTGTTGAACAGGCGAACAAAAGTGTCCAACAGCGTTCAACAGTGCAACAGTAGTGTTCAACAGGCCGACGGTAGTGTTCAACAGGCCAGCAACACTGTTGAACAATACTGTTGCACTGTTGAACACTATTGTCGGCCTGTTGGGCACTTTTGAACACTACTGTTGACCTTCTGAACACTGTTGAACACTGTTGTTGGCCTGTTGAACATTGTTGGGAAACACTATTGCATTCTTGAACCACACTGCTGATCTGTTTAGAACATGTTTAACACCACAGCTCGCCTGTTCCACACTGTTGGACCTTACTATTGGCCTGTTCACACATTCTACAATTAACGCATGATATAATTATACAGTTTAATTACACGATGCATTTTAATCTAGTGGTATGCATCATTACAAGTCTCCCTAACTCTTAATTACCCCATAATAATCATTATACCACTAGAATATGACTGTTTTCCAATTCTTAGTAAATGCATCAAATTCCATTGGTGGTCCCATAGATTTCATTGGCACATAGTGTTGGCCTCCCATGTTGACCCAGTTTGAAGGGCAGAGGTCAAAAAGTGAAAAAAGTACGAAAACCACCTCAAAATGGGTAAACCTCACTCCTTGACCCGAAATCAGTTGCATTTTTGGATTCCTCGTCGAAAATTAGCTATACCTCCCGAATATCAGTTTTTGATAAAACCCCTCACTGTGGCTCAAATCATCTCTGAACGTGCAGTGGGAAAAATTGATATCACGGAGGACGGTAGTCCGACAAGTGACGCACCATAGACTGTGCATTTCAAGCCAAATATCAAAAAATGCCAGTTTTTGCCACTGCACATTCAGAGATGATTTGAGCCACAATGAGGGGTTTTATCAAAAACTGATGTTCGGGAGGTATAGCTAATTTTCGACGAGGAATCCAAAAATGCAATTGATTTGGGGTTGAGGAGTGCGGTTTTAACACTTTGGGGTGGTTTATGTACTTTTTTCACTTTTTGACCTCTGCCCTTCCAACTGGATCAAGAAGGGAGGCCAACACTATGTGCCAATGAAATCTATGGGACCAGGCGCAACTTTCGTGGGATATAACCTTTTTGCCCAACTGAGTTTTAAGGGGAGAAAAATGCATCGAAAGTGTTGGGGATGAATTTTTTCAACATTCGATGGCGAAGTTATAGTATACACCCAACATGAGTTCGCCATGGTATCTTATAAAAAAATCGAATGAAATTGAATGAAAATGAAACAAATTTAAAAATGAAAAAATAAACACAAAAAATCATAAAAAATGAAGAAAAAAACTACAAAATTTGAAAAACGCAAAAAATAGGAAATAGAAAAAAGTAAAAACAAAACATAATGTGGCCCTCTTCTCTCTTCAAGGGGAGAGTGACAATTCCAAGCCCGATAAACATATAGCTGTGCCATATTCGTATCTTAATAACCATCCTAATAATTTTGAGAGCTTATTGAGATCCGATCATAATACCGATAAATCTTAATAACGCTATCAACTTTTTATCAGGTTATTAACTATATTCAAATAATAACGTTATCGGATGAATCTTAATAA